GACCAAATTCTTGTTTCTTGGTCGCAAATTAAAGAGGGATTAATGCTTCTTGTCATTGGACCAATTACAATATGTTTAAAAAATTTTTGATAGCCAGCGTCCCCACCCGCCCGTATCAGAAAAACGAAAATTGGAAAAAAAGTTCAAAAAAAATTCATAACTCGATCAATTTTTGACCAAATTCTTGTTTCTTGGCCGCAAATTAAAGAGGGATTAATGCTTCTTGTCATTGGACCAATTACAATATGTTTAAAAAATTTTTGATAGCCAGCGTCCCCACCCGCCCGTATCAGAAAAACGAAAATTGGAAAAAAAGTTCAAAAAAAATTCATAACTCGATCAATTTTTGACCAAATTCTTGTTTCTTGGTCGCAAATTAAAGAGGGATTAATGCTTCTTGTCACTGGACCAATTACAATATGTTTAAAAAAATTTTGATAGCCAGCGTCCCCACCCGCCCGTATCAGAAAAACGAAAATTGGAAAAAAAGTTCAAAAAAAATTCATAACTCGATCAATTTTTGACCAAATTCTTGTTTCTTGGTCGCAAATTAAAGAGGGATTAATGCTTCTTGTCATTGGACCAATTACAATATGTTTAAAAAATTTTTGATAGCCAGCGTCCTCACCCGCCCGTATCAGAAAAACGAAAATTGGAAAAAAAGTTCAAAAAAAATTCATAACTCGAACAATTTTTGACCAAATTCTTGTTTCTTGGTCGCAAATTAAAGAGCGATTAATGCTTCTTGTCATTGGACCAATAAGAATAAGTTTAAAAAATTTTTGATAGCCAGCGTCCCCACCCGCCCGTATCAGAAAAACGAAAATTGGAAAAAAAGTTAAAAAAAAATTCATAACTCGATCAATTTTTGACCAAATTCTTGTTTCTTGGTCGCAAATTAAAGAGGGATTAATGCTTCTTGTCATTGGACCAATTACAATATGTTTAAAAAATTTTTGATAGCCAGCGTCCCCACCCGCCCGTATCAGAAAAACGAAAATTGGAAAAAAAGTTCAAAAAAAATTCATAACTCGATCAATTTTCGACCAATTTCTTGTTTCTTGGTCGCAAATTAAAGAGCGATTAATGCTTCTTGTCATTGGATCAATAAGATAAAGTTTAAAAAATTTTTGATAGCTGCGTCCCCACCCGCCCGTATCAGAAAAACGAAAATTGGAAAAAAAGTTCAAAAAAAATTCATAACTCGAACAATTTTAGACCAAATGTTTATTTCTTGGTCACAAATTAAAGAGCGATTAATGCTTCTTGTCATTGGATCAATAAGATAAAGTTTAAAAAATTTTTGATAGCCAGCGTCCCCACCCGCCCGTATCAGAAAAACGAAAATTGGAAAAAAAGTTCAAAAAAAATTCATAACTCGATCAATTTTCGACCAAATTCTTGTTTCTTGGTCGCAAATTAAAGAGCGATTAATGCTTCTTGTCATTGGATCAATAAGAATAAGTTTAAAAAATTTTTGATAGCCAGCGTCCCCACCCGCCCGTATCAGAAAAACGAAAATTGGAAAAAAAGTTCAAAAAAAATTCATAACTCGATCAATTTTCGACCAAATTCTTGTTTCTTGGTCGCAAATTAAAGAGCGATTAATGCTTCTTGTCATTGGATCAATAAGATAAAGTTTAAAAAATTTTTGATAGCTGCGTCCCCACCCGCCCGTATCAGAAAAACGAAAATTGGAAAAAAAGTTCAAAAAAAATTCATAACTCGAACAATTTTAGACCAAATGTTTATTTCTTGGTCACAAATTAAAGAGGGATTGATCCTTCTTGTCATTGGACCAATTACAATATGTTTAAAAAATTTTTGATAGCCAGCGTCCCCACCCGCCCGTATCAGAAAAACGAAAATTGGAAAAAAAGTTCAAAAAAAATTCATAACTCGATCAATTTTCGACCAATTTCTTGTTTCTTGGTCGCAAATTAAAGAGCGATTAATGCTTCTTGTCATTGGATCAATAAGATAAAGTTTAAAAAATTTTTGATAGCTGCGTCCCCACCCGCCCGTATCAGAAAAACGAAAATTGGAAAAAAAGTTCAAAAAAAATTCATAACTCGAACAATTTTAGACCAAATGTTTATTTCTTGGTCACAAATTAAAGAGGGATTGATCCTTCTTGTCATTGGACCAATAAGAATAAGTTTAAAAAATTTTTGATAGCCAGCGTCCCCACCCGCCCGTATCAGAAAAACGAAAATTGGAAAAAAAGTTTAAAAAAAAATTCATAACTCGATTAATTTTTGACCAAATTCTTGTTTCTTGGTCGCAAATTAAAGAGGGATTAATGCTTCTTGTCACTGGACCAATTACAATATGTTTAAAAAAATTTTGATAGCCAGCGTCCCCACCCGCCCGTATCAGAAAAACGAAAATTGGAAAAAAAGTTCAAAAAAAAATCATAACTCGAACAATTTTAGACCAAATGTTTATTTCTTGGTCACAAATTAAAGGGGGATTTATTGCTTTTTAGAATGTGACTATTGCAATTTTTTCTATAAACTGTAACAGTTGTTTTTGTGTTGATTGAACCGTATAGGGACATCGTGCTACTATGTGTGTTGGCGCCTTTGGATTCTTCTGATGGCTGGCGGCCGGCGGGTCGCTAGTTTTACCGAGCCGTCACAATTTTCTAATTATCAATTCCCCTGACATTACCCTGACAATTTACCGACATTAAAATTATTTTCCCTGACAAAATTCTTTTTTACATGAAAATATGAAAGTTTACGGATAATGAGTAAAATTTATGAATTTTAATATAATTTCTAAAAAATATAATTTATAACCCTAGGTGAATTGAATTATTTTCTACAATTTTTAACTAAACTTAATTTCTAAATCAATTATTTCAAATAATTTTTCGAACGTTCTTCTAGAATTCAATTATTTAAATACAGAAACTCAATTTTTTATAATAATAATAATAATTTATTTGGAGTCCGTGTTTTTTCCTTAAGTTATTAGGGTAAAATATTTTCAAAAATTTATAATAAAGAAATTCTTAGAATTAATTTTTTAAAAAATATTTTGCAATAATTTTTGAAAGAAAATAGTATTTTTTAATTATATACAATTGAAAAATGTCTAAACAATTGAAATTTGATAAAATCTTTTAAAAATAATTGAATTTTTGAAAAATATAAATAAAAATAATCAAGATTTTAAAGAATTTTAATTATAAATATTTATAATTTTTTAATAAGTCTCAAAAAATAAATTTTTGAAAATTTTTATTTTTTCAAAGATATTTGAATCGAAAAATTTTGATAAAATTATTCTAAGAATTAGTTTTTAAAAATATTTTAACGTAATTTTTGGAAAATAATTGAATTTCTTAAAAGAATTTTTGTATATAATTTAAAAAAAACTAATTAATCTTTCGATGAATTTTTAATTAAATAATGATTTTTTTCTCTAAAATGATAAAAATAATTTCAAAAATATTATTTTTTGTGTGTATTTAAATTTTCGGAAATATGTAGGGGAGACTGGGGTAAACCCGCTCACAGGGTAAACCCGCTCACTAGCGATTTTACGCTATGAACTCAACTTAAGATGGAGATATTGGTAACTGTGAATAGTACTTAACATTCAGCTTATATTAACGAACTTTCGTTTAGTTTCATGAATTCAACATAGAATCAGAGACGATCAAATGTTTTTAGAGGTGTCAGAAAAAAAACGTATTTTGTATTTTTAAGTTTTTCGATCATTATTTTTGAGTCTTAATTTATCTGGCAAACTTTTTTTGTTGCTATTGGATTTTCTTCTTCGAAGTACATATATAGTTTTGTCTTATTTTAAAAAGATTTAATTAAATTTATTCTGAAATGTGAGGAATACACTCGGGGTAAAGTCGCTCACGTGAAGTCGGGGTTAAGCCGCTCACTTAGTTTTAAATTTAAAATTTAGAATAAAATAATTTCACGTATTATATTTCAACAATAACACAATTTATGACTTATTAAAACCAAAATTGTAACTACATTTCACTTTCTCTTAATAAAATACAACACTATTTAAATCCATAGTTGTAATACATGAAATCTATGTTCATTATTTATTAAACCAATTTGTTGTTTATAGAATTGTTTATATAACTCATAAATTATCAATAATAAATCATACTTACGACGGGAATAAGACGAACTTTAATATTTAAAAAATAAAACTGTTCCGTCTTGAAAAGATAAAGTGAGCTGGTTTACCCTGGAAAATTTTGATTTCGACATTTGGTATATGTTTATTAAAAAGATTCTCTAACTAAAACTAAAAAGATAAATAAAAAACTCTTTTTTATTTTTTTAGTAGAAATTATAAGCTTTCAAATGATATAAATTAACTTGGATTTAGAAAATAATTTCCTAGATTTTAGCCGATCTGAAAAAAGTGAGCGGGTTTACCCCCGTCTCCCCTAATTGAAAATATTGAAAATATTGAATTTTAACAAAATTAGAAGCTAATTTTCATTAATTTTTATTTTTAAATTTTATATTTAAAGATTTTTCATTAAAATTTTTAGTGATTCAATTATTTTCCATATTTGCTATTAAAACTCTTCAAAAGTTGATTTTCCAAAATTGTGACAAAATACTTGAAAAAAATTAATTATTTTCAATTAAATTTTAGAAAATTTCAATTATTCAAAAAGATTTTTATTATAGATAAAGGAAAATTTAATTATATCTTAAAAAAGTGATTCAAAAATAATTTGTGAAAAATTTGTTTATAGTTATTTTTCGCACTTTAAAAATCGATATAAGTTGCATTTTATACTTAAAAAAATGTAGTATTTTGTTGGAATATTTGGAAGAAAAATCGAAAAAGTCGCAATTTTTGAAAATAAATCGAAAAAAGTCTCAATTTCCTTAATTTCACTGGCAAAAAAATTTTTTAAATTAAAAAAAATTAAGGATAAAAAATAAAAATGTAAATACTTGAAACTAAACGAAATAAATAATAAATAATTTTAAAGTACTCACCGAAAGACACTCTCATCATAGGAAAGTAGAATTCTAAGAGGCTGACTGATGCTACGCTTCATTATTTCGTGTTTATGTTCAATGTGTACACCGTGTATTACCTGAAGAAAAACAGAATTGCAAATTAATTTTATTTATTTTATTATTTTTATTAAAATAATACAAAAATATAATTTAAGTGCATTTTTTTACACTTTTAAAACTTTTTGATTTTTACATTTTTAATATTATTTTATATTAAAAAATTTTATTTACAAAAATATTATTAAATTCCAGAAAAGAAAAAAATAATCAAAAAGCAGATTGAACTTATTAATAAGCAATTTTTATTGAAAAATCTGTTAGTTTTCTAAATCTTTTCCATTTATATTAGAGTTCAATTTTATCAATCCAATATAAATATTTAAAGCAGAATTTGAATTCTACTTTAAGTGCACTTGTGAAATTTAAACCCATCGAAATTTACATTATTGACATAGACAATTTTTTTTCCCCGTCATTCTTTGTTTTAAAAAAATATTCCCAATTAATAAAACTGAAAAAAAAATGGTTTTTATTCATTTCAGAATTTTCTTTTTGCAAAGATTAAAGTCGAACACATCATCAAAACAACAATTTAAACAAATATTGATTTTTATAGTTTTTTTTTCATTTCTTTTTATGAAAGGGTGGAAAAACGACATCTATTTATTCGACATGCATCACTATGCAAAAATAAAAAATTTTTAAAATGCATACTATCGATTATTCAGAATCATAAAAAAGTGTGTGAAAAAAATTGCCAATCAAAAATAATAGAAATTGTAAAAGGAGTTGAATTTTTAAAAGAATCAGTGTTTTTTGTTAATATAATTTTCTAGAGTGGTGAAATTGAGAATTTAGTTAATTATTTATTTTATTATATTCTAATTTTATTCTAAGACTGGCTTTTTGTCGACTAATGTTATTTTGCATTGCCTATACTTGCGCCACTAACATTAAGCACCCGGAAGTTGAGAGCCTGAAAGGGTACAACGAAATGTGCAGACTAAGGGAACATGAATTTCCACATTTTAGTTTACTATTATTACTTTTAAGTACCTAATTCTTGTTTCACTTTTAGGTTTTGAAAGTGGTATTTTGGTATTTAACTGCTTAAATTTGAAATTGTAATTAAACTAATTTATTTATAATTATATACCACAATTTCCGAAACGAAATTGTTCTTTTTTTATTATTTTATAGTTAGAATAATATCAGGCTTCGCAGTCGATAATTAATTTTAAAAAAGTAACAAAAAAAAGGTACCTAAAAAATTAGGTTTGACGACTAAAAAATCTCGTTTTTGATTAATTTGCAAAATTCACAAAAATTTTATTCTGTACTTCCCTGAATTCCATAAAAAATATTCCCTTTCTTTCTTATCCTGGAAATAATTTCAATTCTAAATTTTTCTAAAATTCAATTATTTATACAAATTCTTAGTTAGAATTCTTCGACATTAAATTATTTAAAACTTGAATACTTTTTGTTAAATAATTATTTTCGAATACTTATTCTTTATTAGTCCACAGAAATTAAAATTTTAAATATAAAAATAAACTTATTGAACTTATTATTAAAATTGTAATTCTTTTAAAATTCAATTATTATATTTTGAAACTTTATAAATAAAATTATTCAAAACTTTTTTTTTAGAAAAAAAAATAAATTAAATTGAACATTTAAATATTTCTACATTTTCACAACAAATTAAAATTTCCAAAGATATTAATTTAAATATTTTTCAAATTAATTATTTCTAAAAATATTCATACTGCAACGCTTGAAATATTCAATTATTTATCTGAAATATTAACTGAAATTAATTTATAGTACAAGTAATATTTAAAATTGAATTCTTACAAAAAATTTGATCACTATTTTTTTTAAATAATTGATTCCTTTTGAAGAATTTTAATAAAATTTCTAAAAAATATTCTGCGAAAGTCCTGCGAAGAATTGGATTTTTTTTGGGAAATTCGATAAAAATTGTATTGAAAATAATTAAATTCTTATAAACAAATTGTATCATAATTTTTCAAATTAATTGATTTCTTTTGAAGAATTTTAATAAAATTTTTAAAAATTTGCATTTTTCAATGAAATAATTTTCAATTGTATCAAAATTAATTGAAACCCTGCGAAGAATTTATGATAATATTTATAATATTCAATTTATTTATATTTATAATATTTATGATAATAATTGAATTTTTTGGGGAAATTTGATAAAAACTTTATTGAAAATAATTAAATTCTTATAAACAAATTTTACCACAATTTTTGAAAATAATTGATTTCTTTTGATTTTGAAGAATATTAATAAAATTTATAAAAATACTAATATTTTTCAATGAAATAATTTAAAATTGTATCAATTTTATTTAAATTAATTGAAATCCTGTAACGAATTTATCTATTTAGGAAAATAATTGAATTCTTGCAACAAATTTTATAATAAATTTTTTGAAATAATTAAATTCTTCTGAAAAATTTAATCATTTGTGAAAATAATTGAATTCTTGCAAAGAATTTTATTACAAGCTTTAGAAAGAATTTAACTTTTTCGAAGCATTTTTTAAGAAAAATTTTGAAAATGATTGAAATCTTTCGAGGAATTTAATTACAATTGTCAATTTTGTATTGAAAATAATTGAATTCCTGCGAAGAAAATTCTATTATTTATTTATTGAATGGTTTCTAAGAATTTTATTTAAATTTTCGAGAATAATTTTTGTATTTATTAATACAATTATTATTGTTTAATAATATTTAATATTATTTAATAATATTTAATATTATTTAATAAATTAATTAAATATTAATTTATAATTGAAAGTAGTGAAAATTCAAAATTGCCAATAAAAAAGAAAAAAGTAGCTTTTAGTGTTACAAATTTAAAAAAAGTATAGTAAGTAGTAAATTTTAGTAGATTACGTAGCCATTAATATTAAATTTATTTATAATTGATAATAATTATTTATATTTATAATTTAATTATAATTAATTATAAAAGTGTATATTTTTAATTATTATTTTATAATTAGCGTTTAATAATTGAACTTTACTTCACAATATTAAGTTCTAGAAATTATCAGTATCAGTTGTGGATTAGTATAATTCTCATAACTTGAATTGTTATATCAGATCAAAACTATGCAATAAGATATGTTATGGAGACTGTGTGCGACAGTTTCAGATATTATTAATGCGGGTTGTAATTAAATTTTGCAAATTAACCACAAATAATTACATGGTAATTTGGTATGCAAGCTATTTATTAGAATGACAGAAACCACTTAATTGTCTACATTCTTTTGCAACACTTTTTTTATTTTACGATCTTTAATTAAAAAAAATATAAAAAAAATAATAATTTCCTCTCTTTGGAGTCACAAGATTAATTCGGATTTTGATTTTTTTTTTGTCACCATTTTGAAGTAGAAAAAGCAAGATCGTATCTTAGATGAAGCGCAAGTTACAATAAGAGAACCTTAAGCTCATCTGCTTATCTACAAAGGAGTTGTGGGAGTATATTTGTGAATTCGCACAAACACTTACATCCCGAAAATGTTTCCTGTGAGACGGAAGCATTTCTTTTCTTTTCATCCCTCTTGCTCGTTAAATACTTTATTTTTTAAAAATACAGAAAGTTAAAATTTTATTTCCTCTACACCATTTATATTTTACTATTACTGAAGATGTCACTAAAGTTTAGAACGTTCAGATGAACGACGATATTTTAATTACTTTTTTAATTTCAATTTTATTCACAAAATGCTCGCAAAATGTTGCTTTTTCTAATTAGAAAAATTATTTTCAATTATAATTATATGTTCAATTAAAATACTGCTTTGTTTTCTTAAAGTAAGACTTTCTTTTTACTGTGATGAGTAACTTTACCAATTATAGGGAAAAATTATTTTATTAGCTGAATTTATTATTTATTACCCGAATTGACTGCTTAATCGATAAAAACTATGAAATATTTTCCATTAAAAAGATTGTTCGAAATAAGAAGTGTCTTGCTGATTCAAGTTAAAAAGAATTTAAGAGCATTTTCTAGTCCTTTTGAGATCATAATTTATGAAAGCAGTTTTCTTTCCAAATATTATAAGAAAATTCTCTTAGGAATTGGTTTTGTTATTTTCTCTCATTGAAATAGTGTTTTCTTGAACAGAAAAATCACTGTTAAAAATTTTAAAGCGAATTCTAAATTTTTTTAACACATATTTTAAATTTTAATACTTAAAAAATGTAGTACTTAAAAATATACAACTTAAAAAATTTACTACTTAAAAATATACTATTAAAAAAATATACTATTAAAAATATACTATTTAAAAAATAATACTCAATAAAAGTAAGAGTTATATTATTTAAAAATAAATTATGAAAGGAATAAAAGCGACACATAACAGACGTGTAAAGGCGAGAAAGTAAATATAAAAGAAAAATAAAAGTATAACAAGCGTAAAAAAGCTGACATAAATGTGGACAAGTTCAAACAATGAAAGGAGTAAAATATAAAAGAAAAATATTGTTCTTAAAAAGACGAAGGAAAAACGGAGAAAAAAAGATTCGGAAAAAATTGACCTCCTATATGTATTAAAAACACAAAATATTATATGGTTCACGAGGCAAAATAGATTATAAACATTCTTTGTACTACACAGAACTGAAAAAATTATTAGTTTTTATTTTTTTTTTAGTCTAGAAAAAATTGGAAAAGTGGGAGAGTGCACATGGGGTAAAAAGGGGGAAAAAAGAAGAAAAAGGGGACTGTAATCCTGGTTATTAAGGTACAGTACATAAAGTTGGTGTCAATAACTCTTCCATGAAATTTTAAACCCCCCAATATTCTCTATAAGATTTAAAAATTGCTTTAAAGGGGAAATTATCCTAAATTAGAAGCAGACAATTTGAAAATAAATTACCATCAATTAAGTCATTATAAATGTTACTCAATAAGACAAAATAAATAACAATATAATAAATATTCACTTTTTTCTTATGTCCTGGAAATAACTTCAATTCTCAATTTTTCTAAAATCCAATTATTTTCCAAATTTTTAATTAA